GTTCATGCAAATTAATCTTTGAACCAACATCATGTTTACGATTGGAGTTGCAGGTGTGTCAGCTTCATCTCTGGAGAGGTTACAAGCTGAATGCCTCCCAACTGATCCTGATGTGTCTATCCACATCCGCTTACAAAGGCTGGAGACCGTTATCTTTGCCTTCCCTAAACTGTTTAAAGGTATAGTACATGTGGTGTGTACTAATCACTTAAAAGAATGTTAAATGGCAAATGGCATGTATTAATACAGCACTTTTTTAAGTCCGGAGACATGACCAAAGCACTAGACACTACATTCACCCATTCCAGTACACACTCACACACATATTTTTACCACATTTTTCTTGTGTTGTGTACTGATCACTTAAAAGAAAGTACAGCGCTCCGACAAAACTCTTTATTAAATAATTAACAAACACTGAAACAGTTAGATGTGCTAAGAAACCAGACACTGAATGGTGACTATGGATGTGGTTTAAGTCTAGGTAAAGTATTCATTATTCAAACCTGAACAAGGTGCATACTTGTGAGTTGTCAGATCCTGTCCTCAGGTCCAGAGCTATGCATATTACACCTTGTTATGCACAGTCATTCAAAGCTACACCTTTTACAGCAACACTAAGGTGGGAGGTAAAATGCACTGAGCTGTGAATTAATGACATTTGAGTTATGAACAATTTGACCCCGCAAAGCCAACTGCTGTTGGATAGGAGTTCACAAAGGAGCAAGGCCACCTCAGGCAGCCACTATTGTTGTGGTTCTTTCTCCCAACACCTACACACCATGCTCTGCAGCAGTAATAGCTTTGTTTCCTTTTCTGGGTAAAACACTGCTGCTTGACACACAAAGTAAACATTTGTTATTTTAGTTTTAAAGCATATGTCTGCCTTTACCAAATAAAATGTGATTTGTCAACCACGCGAGGCATATTTTTTGTGGGGGGTATACTGAGGTTAAAAATCGTATTTCTGTTTATTTGTTTGTTTTTAAATCAGTGCTTCAGACAGGAAAATAACTGACCATATGTGTCTTTCTCTGCACATGTTTGAGGGTCGAGAAATACATGACCCTAAAAGCAATGTCTGTGCCCACTTTGTGAATGCACCGACACGCACAATCTGTTCTCTTTTGAGCACTGTTCACGCTCTTTGCACCGAATAAATACAGCACCTTCTGAATCATGCCGCAGAGAGGAACACAGACTGCACCAGGAAGGCAGAGAAACAGCCCAAAGCTTATCTGAGAGAGTGGCAGGCAGCAATCTGTAAGCAAGGCTGCAGGGTGAAAAGCAGGGCACCTTGTCCGAATCACTGAGCATGCACAAGCACCTACTCGAGGGTCATCTAGCTAATGGACTTCTCAGCACACTTTCCTTGTAACAGGGAGGCCAGTTAGAACAATATAAATATATCTGTCTATCT